TGGAAACCATATTGAGCCTATATCTCCCAGTGATCTGGTCCAAAGTGCTTGTTCTCTTCAAGGACACAAATATCTGCCTTTTGTTTCTCCGTTATCCGTCTTCCAAATTTATTAACTTCTCTGTAGTATGGTTTAACTCTTTGTATTTTTCTTCTACATTGTCACAGCCTATCTTAAAATTTTCCTTTACACATAGACTTAATATTCTGAATTTGAAATAGTTTTAAAATCTTTGATGGAATTATGTTTTACTTTATTTTATTTACCACTTTTATTTTATTTTTTGATTAATAATTTAATTTTTATAATTTTTGTTTTACAGTTGTTCCAATTATTTCCCCTTTTGCCCCCCTTTGCCCAACCTACCCCTACTTCCATAGTCAATCCCCAGCACATTGTCCATGTCCATGAATCATGCATATATCCCTTCACCCTCATTCAAACAGTTCCCCTTCCCTCCTCCCCTCTTACCACTGCCAGTCTATTCCATGAATCTGTCTCTTGTTCTATTTTTCTGATTAATTTATTTTGTTCACTTGATTCCTCTTATAAATTAGATCAGGTAGCATTTATCTTTCACTAAATGGTTTATTTCACTTAGCATGATAGTCTTTAGTTCCATCCATGATATCACAAAAGGTAGCAATTCCTTCATTCTTTCTGTGTAGTATTCCATTGTGTAGATGTACCACAGTTTTTTGATCCACTCATTTACTGACAGGCACTTTGACCATTTCCAGCACTTGGTTATTGTAAATAATGCTGCTATGAACGTAAGGGTGCATAGGTTCTTTTGAATTGGTCTTTCAGGGTTCTTTGGGTATATTCCCAGCAGTGAAATTGCTGGGCCAAAAGGTAGGTTCATTTTTTTAATTTTTAGAGGAGATTCCATACTGTTTTCCACAATAGCTGCACCAGTCTGCATTCCCACCTACAGTGCACTAGGGTTCTCTTTTTTCCACATTCCTGCCAGCAGTTGCTGATTTTTGATTGATTTGTTTATGACAGTCATTCTGACCATTCTGACCAGTGCGTAGTGGTATATCATTCTGGGTTTTTAAAAAATTATATTTTATTAATTATCCTATTACAGTTGTCCCAATTTTCCCTTTTTGCCTCCCTCCACCCATAACCCCCCACTTCCTCAGGCGATACCCACACCATTGTCCATGTCCATGGGTCATTCATATAAGTTCTTTGGTTACTCCATTTCCTATACTGTACTTTACATCCCCATGACTATTTTGTAACTACCTATTTGTACTTCTTAATCCCCTCGCCTCTTCATCCATTCCCCTACACCCCTCTTCCATCTGGCAACCATCAAAATATTCTCTGTATCCATGATTCTGTCTCTGTTCTTCTTGTTTTCTTAGTTTGTTTTTCAGATTCAACTGTTGATAGATATGTATTTATTGCCATTTTATTGTGGTATTAATTTGGATCTCTCTGATGGCTAATTAGGTTGAGCACTTTTTCATATGGGCCATCTATCTGTCCTCCTTGGAGAAGTGTCTATTCAGATCCTTTGCTCATTTTATAAATGGATTATCTTCCTGATGTTGAGTTTTGTAATTTCTTTATATACAAGGTGCAATACAAGTAATGCCCCTTTTTTATTACAAACTCTTATATTATAAAATCATAAAGATATAATTCTTAACATAATAATATCATTCTCAAGCATACCCGATGGCATTTTAGGTGAAACGTTAAAATTAAAATTATAAATTATTACACCCATATTATTATCCTACCAACCACACTCAAGCAGGTATTACTTATTTTGGAGATTAAACGCTTGTCTGATGTATATTGCCAAATATGGTCTCCTATGAAATCAGTTGCCTTTTCATTTCTCCTTCTCATTTTCAGTTTGATGCAGTCCCATTTGTTTATTTATTTTCTTTTATTTCCTTTGCCCAAGGAGATATATCAGCAAAAATACTAGTGTGTGAGATGTCTGAAATTTAACTGCCTATGTTTACTGCCTAGGATTTTTATGGTATCACAAATTATAGTTAAGTCTTTTACACATTTTGAGGTTATTCTGGTGTCTAGTGCAAGTTGGTGGTCTTGTTTCTTTTCTTTTCTTTTTTCTTTTTTTTTTTTTTGCATTTACTAGTCCAGTTTTCCCAACACCACATATTGAAGAGACTATTTTTACTCCATTGTGGGTTCATTCCCCTTTTATCAAATATTAGTTGACCATAGGAACATGGGTTTATTTGTAGGCTTTCTCTACTGTTCCACTGATGTATGTGTCTGTTCTTAGGCCAGTGCCAGACTGTTTTGATTATAATGGCCATGTAGAATAGTTTGATATAAGGTATTGTGATCCCTCCTACTTTGTTATTCTTTCTCAAGATCTCTGAGGCTCCTCAGAGTCATTTTTTTGTTCCATATACACATGCAATATTTGTTCTAGATCAGTGAAATATGTCATTTGTATTTTAATAGGGATTGCATTTGAATCTCTAGATTGCTCTGAGTAGCATGGGCATTTTAATGATGTTAATTCTTCTAATCCATGAACACAGTATATACTTCCATTTGTTTGTATTTCCCTCAGTTTCTTTCTTCAGTGATTTATTTCTGAGTACAGATCTTTTACTGCCTTGGTTAAATTTATTCCTAGGTAGTTTATTTTGTTGTTATGGTAAATGGGATTTTTTTCTTAATTTCTCTTTCTGGTAAATTCATTGTTGGTGTACAAAAATGCCATTGATTTCTGAATATTGACTTTGTATTCTACTACTTTGCCAAATTCACTTATTAGGTAGAGTAGTTTTTTGGTGGAGTCTAAACTTTTGCCTGTGTACACAATCATGCCATCTGCAAATAATGACAGTACTACTTCCTCCTGTCCAACTCAAATATCTTTTATTTCTCTCCCTTGTCTAATTACTATGGCCAGGACTTCCAGTACTGTGTTGAATAAGAGTGGTGAAAGCAGACATCCTTGCCTTCTTCCTGATCTTATGGGAAACATTTTTAGTTTTTGCCCATTGAATATAATGTTCACAGTAGGTTTTTCGTACATGGCTTTTATTATGTTGAGATATGCTCCCTCTATTATCACTGTGCTGAGTGTTTTTACCATAAATGTGTGCTGGATTGTATCAAATGCTTTTTCAGCATCTATTGATATGAGCATGTGGTTTTTGTCCTTCATTTTGTTTATGTGATGTATTATATTCATTGATTTGTGTATATTGTACCATCCTTGGTTCCCTGGGGTAAACCCCACTTGATCAGGTGTATGATCTTTTTAATATATAGGTGGATCTGGTGTGCCAATATTTCATTGAGGATTTTAGCATCTACATTCATCAGAGATATTGGCCTATAATTTTCTTTCCTTCTTGTGCCTTTACCTGGTTTTGAAATTAGGATAATACTGGCCTCATAAAAAGAGTATGGAAATCTTTCCTCTTCTTGAATTTTTGGAATAGTTAGAGGATAGGTGGTAGTTCTTTGAATGTTTGGTGAAATTCACCTGTGAAGTCATCCAGTCCAGGGCTTTTTTATGTCAGGAATTTTTTGATTACTCTTTAAATTTCACTGGTTGTTATTTGTCTATTCAGTTTTTCAGCTTCTTCCTGATTCAGTTATGGGCGATTGTATGTTTCTAGGAATTTGTTCATTTCACCCATGTTGTCCAGTTCCTTGGCATATAGTTGTTCATAATAATTTCTTACAATCCTTTGTATTTCTATCGTACCAGTTATTACTTTTTTCTCTTTCATTTCTGATTTTTGCACTCTCTTTTTTTCTTGATAAGTCTGGTTAAAAGTTTGTCAAGTTTATTTATGTTTTAAGGAACCAGCTCCTGTATTCATTAATTTCTTTTTTGTCTCTACGCCATTTAATTTTACCCTGATGATTTCCTTCCTTCTACTCCTTCTGGTTTTTGTTAATTGTTGTTCCTCCAGTTCTTGTAGATGAAGGGTTAGGTTTTTTATTTGAAATGTTTCTGTCTTTTGTAGGTAGGCCTGTATTGCCATGAACTTCCCTCACAGGACTGCCTTTGCTGTGTCCCACAGGTTTTGGCCTGGTGTGTGTTCATTTTCATTTGTTTCCAGAAACTTTTTGATTTCTCCCTTAATCTCATTGTAATTCATTCATTATTTAATAACATGATATTCATCCTCCACGTATTAGTCTATGGATCACTTGTAGCATTCTTCCTTCCCTTTCTTATGTTCCTATGTTATTTTTTTTTTTTACAGTCACTGCACAATAAATCAGTTTATTACAGATTAAACATTTTTTCATTATTTGTATTAATGGGATGCAAACAGAAATAAATACCAGATACTTTTAAATGGCAGGTAACCACAAAAATTACTTATCTTTGATAGTATATTGGGTTTATAACTACATTGGATATGAATGGTGTAAATTATTGTCACAAACAATACACCCCAAACAAAACAATGAGGCCATACTTTAATGTTATTCACTAGATTGTGCTCAGTAGACATTTATTGAGTAAGTGAATTTTTAATCTTATTTCCCCCCAATTACCTAGTACAATTTTTGCTCACAGAAAGGGCTCAGTAAATGTTTGCTGAATATACTGACTAGGAAAGAGGTGAGAAGAGATGGAACCTCTTAGCTGGATGTCAAGTATTATAACTAGAATTTACCTGGGAACGAGTGTTTAAGGAAGATGTAAACTGCACATGGCATACAGGTAAATAAACTCAGATACCAACAAAGCAAACCATTAAGCAGAAAACAGTGGCACTGGAATAAACAAAGGCAAGATTTGCCAATAGCAAAAATGTAACTGACTTTAAGAGATAACCAAGAAAAAGTTTATACTGGACCATACCTTTTCTCACCCAATTCAGTTTGAGACAGACCAATAGAGGCACTGTTAAGAGACTATGGCTGTCTTCCTCGATATTCAGACATCCTAGTTTCCAGCAATTATGGACCTGTTATCCATGAGTCAATATAAACCTATTCAAATTTAGGGATTAGTTTCCACAAGTACAAAGCTGAATTTCCTTTTATTTGTCCTAAAATGTTTACTTTCATACTTGAAGGGACTTCAATTATTCCATGTAGTTTCAGTAACATTCTTTTATCTTTTCAGACCAGAGTCAAAATATTCACACAGTATTCATACTGCAGCACCTTCCACCCACCCTTTGGTCGCTTGAACTGCCCTTCTTTGGTTCTTTTTCCGCTTTCTCAGATCTTTCTTGAAGCGTAGTAAGCAGAACTGTACTGGGTATTCCAGCTGCAGTTTGGTCTATCATTGTCGGAATGGCTTCTGCTACGCCGTGGTCTTCCAGTCGGTCTACTGTTTCTAGGGCTATAAGATCTTCTATAGTTGTAATCAAAGGACCGACTTCTTGATCTCCTTCTTTCGTAACTTCGGCTTCTAGAACGTCTATATCTGTCGTAATCATCATAGTTTGAAGAACTGTACACATTCCTCCCTTCCTTGGCTTTCATCTGATTTGGAGTCTTCCGATCCCCCTGTGCAAACTGTATTTCAATCTGGCGACCACAAATCCATTTTCTGTCCAAATTATGTAAAGCATCTTCAGCATCACGAACATCTTCAAATTGAACATAAGCAAATCCTCTTGGCCGGCGAGTGTAGAAATCAAGTGGAACATACACATCAACTATAGGACCATAACGACCAAATTCACGTCGTAAATCTTCGGACCTGGTATCGTCGGCCACGTTCCTTACGAATAGAGACGTGTTGGGGGGTCGCAGGTAACGGGACATGACTGCAGCCTGAGTCTCCACAGGGGCACTAACGGGCTCAGCAAACCGTCCACGGCTCCAGCGGCGGCTCCTCGGACACACACCATTATTTTTGTTTTAAAATTTATTTTTCCCTTTTTATGCCTCATTTCTGTTCTTTGTTATTTCTCCTACCTCTATCCTCTCAAAATCACTTTTCTTTCTTTAATCTTCTCATATTCTTTTTCTCTTTTTTATAATAATTGTGTTCTCTTTCCATCATTATCAGTCTTTGCTCATTTGTAATTAATATTGCTGTTGTAGTTAATTATTCTTCTATTTTGTTCATATTTATCAATGTACTTTATATCAGTTATCATATTTTACTCTTGCCTTATTTCACTTTGCCTTCTTCCTTCTCTTTATTACTTTCAGTTTAAATTTTATTTTTTCCCTTTCTTTGCCTTATTTCTATTCCTTACTTTCTTTGTTTCTCTTCCCTCTATCCTCAAAGTTGTTCTTCTTTCCTTTGGTCACCTCATATTCGTTTCTTCTGTCCTAATATCTTAATTTTATTTTAAATTTTATCCTCAAGAATGGAAAGAAACTTATTTCTCTTTTCATTTTTTCCTGTTTTGTGAATTATCATCATTGTCATCATCATCATTGCCGCCGTAATCACCCTGTTCCTCTTATACTATGCATAGTCTGCAATCCTCTGTTGAGAATTTGCAGTATGTTTCATGGCTCCGTGTAAAGTTCTCTTAGGGCTTAACTGCATAAGTCCTGTGGGTGTCAAAATTTTCTAGTTTCAGTTATAATGTTTTTCACCCTGTTATATTTTCAATTTAGTAATTTTATTAAAACTCAACGTGGAGGACTGAGGCACCTTATTTTATGTCCCTATCTTTTCCTAAAGTTAAAGTTTCATGTCCTCTTGAAGCTTATGGGACATAATTAGATTGGACTCAATTTTTTTTCTTCTTCCTCGCAGTAGGACATTTTATGAAGGAGATAACTGTAATATTGCCTCATAGTTTCACGTTCTGTTTTTGGTTTTACATCCATTTTCACAGTGTATATGCTGGAATCAGATGCAACCTGTGCTTTCCTTCTACTTGTAACCTCCATTGTAAGAGATTATTTTCATGGAGCATCCATATAAGGAGATGCTTTCCATGGACAGTGTAAAGATACTAAATACCACCCCCTCAAAATTCTGAACTCCATTTTTTCCAATTTTTTCATATATGTATTTTTGTTGCATTTTCTTTGTGTTTGCCCTCTAAGTTTTCAGCATAGTTTTTTCCCACAGGCTAATGACATAAGAAATAGTCTTCTTACAGCTAAAAGTTGTGTATTTAGTAAAAATGTTTAGAACTTTTTTATTTTACCCTACAATAATTTTCAAGAGTAACAGAGTTTTTTTTTTTTTTTTTTAATGCTTCATATAACTGGAAAATCAAGATGGGAGTTACTCATCTGTCCTTAATTTGCCTTTTTTTTTTTTTGCCTAGAAATAAGAGACTAAAATAATATTTCACACAAAGGTCATTCTTATTTTCTAAAATTGCTTGTTGTGAAGGATTTTATGATCAGATAGAATAAACAGACATTCATGTATCATTTATTTATATTTTTATTTAGGCTTCATATTTTGCTTAAGATGAAATAGTATACTTAAATTTTAATATTGATAAAGACTATAGGTCATAATTTTGTCTTTTAAAGGTATGAGGAGTTCCATTATTAAGAAAATACATAAACAAAATATAATTTTCAAAGAATTTAGGAGACTTGCGCTGCCAAAGAAAAGCTGGTGGTTAGAGACAAAGGTAAGTTCTACCTTCTCAGTGCAGAAAAGGTAAATGGCTATGACACTCTTTGCTTTGTAGATTTGTAAACAACACAGTTAAGTCTTTACTCATTTCTCCTGCCTTTGCCTGAATTACACTGCTTTCAGGCCAATAGGAAGACTTGGTTAAAATATAATAATTATTCAGATTCAACCTTGGAAAGGTAAACTGAGAGAAATTAGACCCTAATAGTTTACCTTATTTTAAAAGCAAAAATACTATTAAACTTAAATGGAAAAAATGTATCTATTTGATATTAATATGCATAACATTTAATATTGTGTAGTTAATGCTTCAATATCAGTTTTGAAACACAGATTAAAATAATTTAACGTGGTTTTCTTTCAGGATTACTCAGAGAGTTTGATGGAGATGAAGTGTGCCTCATCTGACCATTTTTTCATACCATAACATCAACATCTCCCAAAAAGATGACTCTACAACACACTTTTCAGAAATACAACAAAAAAACTTAAAAATGAACCAAAGCTGTACTTTCTTATATTTCCATAACTCTTTAATTATTATTTAAATTCTACCCTTGCCTTATGCATAGGTTATAGAAGTGTTCTCACTTATGTAAGCACCAACCACTTTTCCTTAATAAACAATTAATAGCTTGCCCATGCTTTCCAGATTTTAGGCATACACTGCATCCTAAAACCTTGCATCTTCTTACACAGAGAGTGTCAGGAAACGGTTCAATGATCATTTTCTTTAAGTCCCAAACTAAACTAATCCTGAGTCAATTTAACTCTGTTACTTTACTGTATATATCTTTTATTTTGTGATCAAAAACCATGAAAGAATGAAAATATGTTTTATAATGGAATAAACCTAATTGGCTAGCAGAAAATGTTGGGGGCATTTAGTGACTGGCTAAAAGTTTTCTTGCCCATCACATCTGAGAAATCTTCCTTTAATTTTAAAATATTTGGCTTTTGGAGGGAAGAAATTGTTCAGGGGGGAAAAATATTTTTTCCTCTACTATGATCTTGGTTTAGTCTCCCATGTAATAAAAAGGCAAAGGGGACAAAAATTAACTATGTAAAGATATGAGACTCCAAGCCAGCCAAGCAATTGAGGCTCATATACCACCCTGAACTAAGGAAAAGAATTTGAGTCTAGGCTTCCAAGAAGAAGAAGGCAATCTACAGGAAAGTGGATAGAACAAATATTTGGTAAATAAATGTTTGCTTTGCCATGCAGGTAAGTCTCTCAGGTGAAGAAGTTACCTCTCATAATAACTATATCTTCTTGCTATAGGCCCCATTCTAATTTTTTTAGGCAGGTAATGGGGGTGTAAATATCTTTTCTTGGGTCCCCTGGGTCTTGCTTGACTTCAGATCAAAATAATCCACATGCCAAAGTGGCATATTTCATGGTGGCACATTCCTCCACCCCTGACTTTTATATATTGTCATTTGCAAATACCTATCTCTTTAACTGTCATTATATTTTTAACCCAATCTCAGCTGCATTCCCTTATAAACAAGACAGATAAAGAGTATAAAATACTCTAAAATATTTAGAGTATTTCAAAAAAGAAAAAAGGAAGAAGGGAATAAAAAAGAAAGACAGATGCCATATTAAATAGAAGTAAAATGTTTTAATCACAAACTTTTTCCAGGCTTATTCGTATTTAGGAAGAATGAAGACAACAACAATTAAGCTACTCTTTTAATCTGAGTAATTTCAGCTCTGGCTACCATTATAGATGGTAAAACAGAGACAAAGATTTTGACTCATTAGCAGTAATATAAAATGTTTTACTTTGGAAAGATTATTTGACAATATTAGTAATCTGTGAAATAGTTTACCTTGAGAATTGTTTAAAAGATATTAAAACTAAATGTTAGAAATGTAAGGGACATTCAAGACTGTAGAATTAAGGAGGCCTTGAATCAGTATTATCCCTGAAAGTTATCATTGTGGTTATTTCAATATCCAGTATTGCCAACATATTTGACAAGAGAATAAATAAATAATTTTAGAGTCAATTTAATTTAGGAATATTAAGTCCAAGTGAATGTGCCATAAGAAGGTTATAGTAATATTGAGCCAGAAATGTAGGAAGGTACAATTTCTACTCCTTAAAAGAGTACAAGCAAAGGTGGCGATAATGTCTTGGGTCTGTGTTTGTCTAGATTCTAGCCAGTTAGGAAGGCTCTGGGAAACCAGTGAACAGAAAGCATGAATTAATATCATAGTTGTCTATATAATATTTTTTAATTAATTTTTTCAAATACATTTGTCTCTCCCTTCCCTTCTACACTTTCCCCTGCCCCTCCCCCAACTCCCTCTCTCAATCCTTCCCCACTTTGATTTTGTACATTAGTCCTTGCTATATGTAACTTGACTTGCCCCTTCCCCTCCTCTTCCCCCGCCCACCCCTCCTTTCTTCCCTCTTGTCTCTGTTTGTTATTTTCCTTTTGATGTTGGTGGTCTTATTTTCCTTGCATCTTTGTACTGTTGGTTAGGTTGTCCTTATAGGTAAGATCATATGGTATTTGTCTTTCGCCCCCTGGCTTATTTCACTTAGGATAATGCTCTTGAGTTCCATCCATGCTGTCGCGAAGTTTAGTAGTTCTTTTTTTCTTTCTGCCGTGTAGTATTACATTGTGTAAACGTACCATAATTTTTTGATCCAACCATCTACTGAAGGGCATTTAGGTTACTTCCAACACTTGGTTATTGAAAATTGTGCTGCTATGAACGTTGCGGTGCAGAGGTTCTCTTGAATTGGCGTTTTGGGATTCTTGGGGTAGAGTCCCAGCAGGAGAATCACTGGACCAAAAGGCAGTTCCATTTTCAGCTTTTTGAGGAAATTCCACACTGCTTTCCACAATGGCTGCACCAGTCTGCATTCCCACCAACAGTGTACTAGTGTTCCATCTTCCCACAGCCTCGCCAGCACCTGTTGTTTGTGGATCTGTTTATGATGGCCATTCTGACCAGTGTGAGGTGGTACCTCATGGTGGTTTTGACCTGCATTTCTCTGATGGCTAGTGATGCCGAGCATCCTTTCAAATGTCTCTGGGCCCTCTCTATCTCTTCCTTGGAAAAGCATCTGCCCAGGTCCTTTGCCCATTTTTTGATTGGATCGTTTGTCTTCTTCGAATGGAGTCGAGTGAATTCTTTATGTATTTTGGAGATCAAACCTCTATCTGACATATCATTAGCAAATATATTTTCCCATAGGGTTGGCTCCCTTATCATTTTGCTGATGTTTTCTTTAGCCGCGCAGAAGCTTCTTATTTTTA